TGCGTGCCTATGTCAAGCTTGCCAGGATCTGCCTCGCTGCGAAAGAGTCTCGCTTCCCTGTCCACAGCAAGCATCATATGCTGTTCCACACATTCCACCTCATGAAGTGTTGGGCAGCCAAAGCTGAGTGGCAAGAGAACCCTTTGGTGGACAGCTGCCAGCAAGACGAGGCCTTTGTTGGTGTTTTATCACGCTACTCAAGGCGTGTCTCGCCAAAGGCGACCATTGAAAGAACTCTGGATGTGTATTTCACGAGTTTGAAGAAGCACCTACGTGGAGAGGAGTGAAAAGATCGACGTGTGCAATATGGCATGCATACAATTAAATAAAAATAATCATAATCCGGAGATATTCAAGTTGAGTATGTATTGCGTAAAAGTATAACTTTAAAAAAAAAAAATGAAATTATTTTCCTTGAGTATGTATTTCTCAAAAATGTACATTTTGAAAGACGGTGTAACAATTCTAGCACTCTTGGTTTAGCTGGTTGCTCTTTTTGTACCTCCTAAAGGTCCAAGTACATGGGGAGAATGAACATGTTGTTTGATCCTTCGACAGCTCGGATAGCACGTGCCTTGGCTGCCTGCAGCTGCATAAGCAAGTCTTTGCGGGCAGCTTCCTCCACGTTGCTCAGCTACCAGGACACATGGTTCGCCCCCCCCACCAATCAACCAGGGATTGTTAATTATAGGGGTTATGGTGTTCAAGTTTAGGATTACGTTTTGCATTGTTGTCCGCATGGAATTGATCAGAACTTGATCATTGTTGAACGGAAATAGAGTGAACCTGCTTCGATGTCATAAAATCTCCGTCATCGAATCGCCAAAACCGATGACAAAGCTTCAAACGCCCAAAGTCCCTTTTGGATGCTGGCTTACAAGGAATTTACTGCCCCTCAAAGTGGCTGGGGGCAAACCATGAGTCCTGGGCGAGTTGTTACACTGGCAAGAAATCTTTCTTTTCGATAAAACATGTGTCCTTCTCGGCTAAGGCCTGCTCCTCTGCCAAGCGTCTTGCTTCTTCATCCACCTAATTCAAAGTCTTCTCTGACATTTTTCCCAGAAAAGCAATCCAACGGGATCAACCCCACCTTCCGTCGAGCCTTTCTCAGCCTGCCGAGTTGGGAGCCGACGCAGCAGGAAAAAGCAAAAAAACACCGCCCAGCCACCGCCATGAATGTCTTCAAAAGGATGCGGAATGGAGTCAAACCCACGACCATCCGCTTTGCGGATGTGAAAAATCCTGGTGGAGTCAACCCCATTCGCCACCTCAGACCGTTTTGACCGCCCCTTGATTGGCCAACCCAGGAACCCCTCGTGCCCCCCCAAGATCCTCGGGCCTTTCAAGATCCTCTTCAGGGTGCACACGCAGTTCGACCTCGTCCGAAGACGCAGCCCAGGCCCCGAGCCTCGAATCGGAGCCTCGAACGGCGGGCCTCGATGTGGACGACCGACCACCCCCCGCATCTGTGGGACGTTCAGGGCATAACAAATAATGGAGTTCCAGGGCGTGGTCTTAGTCACAGTCTCGGATGCAACTCCAGTATGTATGCCAATATTGTACGCCAATAAGAAATGACCACCCACGCAGATTGCAACCTGCGAAGGGGACCTGCGAATTTAAGATCCTGACTGCTTGGTCAGCATATTTGCGTGCAAGCTCGAAGAAAAGTTCTGGTTCTCGTTTCTGCCATTTCTTCCAAACCTCCTTCGGGCAGGTCCAACAAATGCTACGGGTGGATTAGCTCCCCTCTAGGATAGCTTTTCGGCCATGTTCCCCAAAAAATCGACCGACCTAAAAGGGCAGTGTGATGCGCTGCTGCAAGCGGCCCTTTTCCTTCTCCCCGTCCTCAATGTCCTTGACTTTTCCTTCAACTAACCTCAGGAACAGAACCAGCACATCCAGATTGCTTGACAACCATCACATGGATCCACTAAGGCTCCGGGGAAATGTCTTGCCATGCCACAGTCAGTAGTTGAAAAACTTAATAGACCACCATAAAATGTGAGACACCGTAAACCAACAATGATCAGAAAGATATGGATTTTCAGTCAGCTAGTACAGAGATGGATCAGGAAAATATGCATGTACGTACAACCCTGGTGGGCGAGACACCTTTCAGGGTGGTAGGAGGAATAGAAGTCTGTCAGCCGCAACTCTGCGGTGGTCACTGCCTCCTTCGGTGAGACACAGTCGCAAAGCAGTTGAAGAGCTTCTCGATGCGCTTTGCAAACCTCTGCTGCACCGAAGCAAAAAAGATGATGACTGGGTATGGCTCAAGAGTAGGATGCTATCTCTGGTTCCAAAACCTGTGGGTCTATGGGTCAGATTCATTGTTTGATTTTTGTTTGAGCCACGTCCACGTGAGTTCGCCCCACAGCTGCAAGAAAATTCACAACGAAGCCAAACGCTTGCATCTCACAGCCCTATACAAAGACTATTTTTGGCACCACCAAAGCAAAGGAAACTCCTTTTCGGATCACCTAAAGACTGTTTTAAATTGACTTGGACTCCCAGGGATAGTGTATTTGACGCTGATTTCAGCACTAACTAAGTCACTAGCACGGAATTTCCAAATCAGTAGATAGCAGTAGTGCCAGAGATCAAGACTTGTTTTCTGTTGGTGTCAAGCAAATTGCTTGAAGTAGAACAAAGAGGATATTCCAGCCCTCACTCCAGCCAACAGCCGTCAACGTCCAGCCGTCCAGCTTTGGGCTGGGCGTCAACTCGCTTGCCGGGCTTTTTCCCGGCAACCTGTTTGAAACAAGCAAAAGGTCTGCGACGTTGGAATAGCAAATTCTACCCTCGGGTTGCTCACAAAACAAAGGCCGGCAAAGAGGATATCGTGCCTCAGAGGATATTGTGTCTCGTGCCGCGTGGCGCTCAAGCAGTTTTTGCAGTCCAGCAACTCCAAAGTGCGACTCACCTCCAGTAATTAGGACATCAGCCTCTTCAGCTACAGCAATGCACCCCTCATCCATATCACATGCCTTCTCCGCACCTTGGCAGGTGCCCCCACTGGCAAATACATGGCAAGTCGAAGCGATTGTGCAAAGAAATCTGACTGTCACACATACCTCGGTCAAGACACATTTTTCGAACTGCTTCCCGCACTTCTTCCATGGCATCCCACAAGTGCGCATGCAAATCTCCTTCTCCACACAGCATCGATGCAGTGTTCCATTTCCTGCGGAAGTGAGATGGATGTATATAGACCAAATGGATGTATATAGACCACCCCAGCGCCCAAATTGACTGACTGTACTGCAAAATGGCAGCTATAACCAAGGCCTTTCGTGTCTGCACCACTCGATCAAGCCTTTTGCGCGCAGATCCCAGAGCGGTGTACGCGAAAGCCAGTCTTGATGAAAAGGCTAGCAGGGTGATACTACAAATAGATGGATGGGTAGACAAATAGACAGGTCAATTGATTCTATTGATAGGTGTGTATGTATGTGTGTATATATATACACATGTGTATATATATATATATACACATCATCATTCATCTATATCCCGCAAAAAGCATCTACACCTCCATCTACGATCGTGTCTCCCCACACTCTATGCACATAAAAGCGCACAATAACGGAGATATGTGGATCATTAAAACTAAAATAAAAATAGATGTACATTGATATACATATATCATAACATTATAATGCATCATGTATCAAGCATCACTCCACGAGCAGCCCGCTACATCAGCCACTCCTTCCAGTACATCGCACCCGAACGCCCAGATCTTGGGCCCTTGGAGCTTTCGCACGGCACGCGGAGCCTCCTGACGGATGGATCCGGTGGTGTTGAAATGGCGTTGTTTTTTGTCAAAGAGACGGCTTGAAGAGAAACCATGGCCTCATACAGGCAAACTGTATGACCTCGTTTTTGGACTCACAAGTTTAGTCAGTTTTGAGTCAAATCTGGAGGCAATCTGAGAGGTCGGTCAAAGGCCCAAGGTCTCTACGGATGGAAATCAGGCTCCTTTGGGCAGGCCGAAGCAGAGCACTGGACATTGGAGAAGCTGGTCACACAATCAGGTGCCAGCAAGCAAAGCAAGACGGCCACATGCACATGGCTTTGCGATGTCCCCATAGGACACTTGAACTGGTCCCCTTGAACGCGTACGCATAGATGTCTGGTTCTTGTGTTCAGGGCACTTGCAAATAGAATTGGCATCGTCTCTCAAACCCTTTGGTGCTTTCTGCTGTCTAGTATGCCACATGTGTCACATGAGAGGCTGCCACACGTTCAGTTTCTTGGTGCTGCATCATGTCCCAGCCTTTCATTTTGACATTTATCAAGTGGTCACACATTGTGTGACATCTGGTGGGCCAAAAGAAACCAATTGAGGGGCAAGTCTGTGCGATACATGGCACAAACCAAGCAGTCTGTGGGTGGAGCACCAGGAGCCAGTCTGCTCACACTGCCCAATGTACCTCGCAGCAAATCCAGGTAAATGTACTGAGGGCTAATGACATAGGAACAGGTTGGGCTTATTGACAAGGGGACGTGATCCGGACAAGCTCCAAGACAGGGTCGCGAAGCATGAATCACGAATCACACTCAGGGTCACGGATCTCAAGCTTATAAAAACGACGATTCACGAATCATGAATCACACTCAGGGGCAGGGATCTCAAGGTCATGGGCTACAACGACTCTATACAATCACAAGCCGTCTATCTCACTGGCCTGCAGGATATACAATTGGATGGGAGACCCAAAGATGTTGAGAATCGCAAGCATCTTCATCGGCGCACTCCTCGAGCTTGTCGGATGAAGAAGACCCCGAGGATCCATTCACAGGTATGTGTTTGAAGTTCTGCATCACAAAGCGGCGCCTGAGGAAGGTAGAGTTAAAGTTGAGACATGTTGAGACTGTAAACGATCCGCTTTGTCTTCGCCTAGCTGTGAAACAAAAAATGTCATTCACCTATGCCTGTCACTGGAATTCGACTTATGTGTGGAATATGGCTTTCTGTTCTAAATCTCATCATATCTCGTCTCCACTGACCTGGAAGGCGTCAGCTTCTCCAAAGCAGTCTTTGCACGTGAAGGATCCAGCTTCCACCTCGTGCGTTCTGCGCTCAGCAGCTACTGAAGAGTCCAGCTACTCCTACTACTCCGGCAGGGACTCGTTGGACTCGTTGTGATGTTCGACCGTCCAAGAGGCTTGGAGACGAAAAGAGCGATGACCTTCATGTCCAGTGGCGGTGCCTGGGCGAGTCGGCGACGCGTCGGCGAAGACGGACGGTTTTGGCCGTTTGATTTCTAAGGTGGCAGCCACTGGAGGCGTCGGGGCAGCAGTTTTGGCCATTGGAGTTGCGGAGGGACCTAGGAAGAATATGACTTCGATTCGAGTCGTCCAGGTGGTTGTTTTATATTTAAAAAGGTGATTCATGTTCGTTTCAGTTTGGGGGTCACATGAGGCCTCAAAAACCATCCTAATTAGTCATAGAATGACTAGAATTGATTAAACTATATTAACATCGTTAAAATGGCAAGCTGTCTGATGCCTATTGAGTGTGTATCTAAAAGTCACTTAACCAATGTCACTCAACCGTGGCCTGGCACCATCGGCGCGGATGCTTTCACCTCTGCTGGTGCAATGGCCTCTGCGCCATCCTCAGGTCAACGACTGGTCGACTCGGCTACCACCCGCCGTTCGGTCGAGGTCGCCACCACCAGCGCAGCCGCCTCAGGCGGTTCATCCGACGCGGGCGGTTCATCCTCTGAGAGCTACTAGCAATGGCCTCCAACCTAATGGCAAAAGGAACCCAATAGCGATGGCCTCCAACCTACTAGCGATGGCCTCCAGCATAGAGCAAAAAGCTAAAGAGGTGAGGCGAATCATGCCTTTGCCTAGAAAATCGATTGGCTTCACATCTTCATACTGTCCCTACTACTTACTTTGAAAACACCCTGGTGGTTTCAAGTATCCGTTGAGATCCGTTGAGAACATTTGTGGCTGGAGGGTCTCCTATTTCGCCCCGAGAAGTTCGTTGCCCCGACCCGCCACCACGGTCACCCTCGCGGCTTCGTCGCCCTTCGTCGCCTGCATCCCCGCGGCTGCCCGGGCCATCGCCTCAGTTGGCGTTTTTGGGGTCGACCACCAAAAACGAAAAGATGTACGGAGGCCATCGATCCTCCCTTTGAAGGGGTGCGAAACTCGTCCACTTCATCGACATCATGGTTCACCCATGGTTCAGGGAATGTTTGGGGGTAGAGATGGGGAAACCCCACACCACACGGCACCCATATGGCCCAAATCGTTAGAAGTCATGATGCCTTAATCATTGCCTGTGTACATGGATATCTTTGCACTACAGTTTTGCTATGTTTTGCTTCCGGAATAGCCTTCCCCATGGGAGAAAAGGGTAAGGAAGAGGAGTGACTGTTTTCGTGCGGTATTTGTTTTTTACAGAATGCTAGAGCACCAGACCATACTGGTCACCTAAATCCCGCTCTGTGTGACACTGCAGTTAGACTTGTTCCAGTGCTGACTTGACTTTCGGTTTTCCGGAAGAGTCCTGTTCTATGAGCTCCTAGAGCTCCGAATTAGTCGAGCCCAGTCTCTTCCTGAGTCGATGACTGCCACAGGGCTGCCCCCAGGTGGCACAACGATGCCCGAAGTGGTTCCAGGCACTAGGGCCCTGACACACAGATGCGGCTCTGAAAAAATGATTCACTTGACTTAATGAGATGGCCGATGAATTTTTGCGTTTGACTTGCTGTTTCACACAAACCTTCCCTTTCGGGGTCGAGCCCTTTGTCTTTCAATCACTAATGCACAAACCTGGGAAGAAGAGTGCCATGTTTTGTGCCATGACCCCAGCTGTCTCCATTTGCTGGTCATGAACATGTTGCCAACTGACGCGCGCCTAATAAGGCCGCCCAAGCTGGTTGCCTTCTCACAACGTAAGGACAAACAGCTTGCCATAATGAAGCCATTTGTGCGTGTTTGGGGCTACTTGTTTAACTTTGCGAATTGCAACCACAGGTGTTCAAAGCACTCCATCCTGTGAATTGCCAGGCAAAGGTGGAAACTCAACATCCTCCATTGCTGGCGGGTCCGGCCTCAGAAATACAACGCAAAGACGTTGGGGAACCGTCGGATGGAGATGTTGGAGAGAAAGCACGGTGCCGCTTTGGGAAGCGACGACATCGCTGCTTGAATTCCGTGTTTCTTTTGCGATTCAAACCGATCTATATAAGTGCAGGACGCTCCGGCCTTGGCTAAAAGGCAAAAGCATTTGTGAAGACGTTGAAATGGTTTTTAGGATTTTCAGGTATCACAGTTTGGCCGTGATCTGCGACAAAGACTGAAAAACAAAGAAACAACACAAGAATGGCTGAGAAGAGGGAAAATCAACTGGATCATCCTGGAGGGATCTAAACCGATCGAGTATTGGTTTCGGAAGTTATTTTCAGGTACTAAAAAGCAAGATGGAACCCACGAACCCGAATGCAAACACGTATTCGAAAACAAACACCATCAAACACCCAAACAATTTTGTCACTCTCGTAGGAGACCCTTTTGTGGGACACTCTTGTAGGACACTCTTGTAGGACACTCTTGTGGGACACTCTTGCGGGACACTCTTAGTTTGTCACTCTTGTGGGACGCTCTGGTAGGACACTCTTGTGGGACACTCTTGTAGGACACTCTTGTAGGACATTCTTGTGGAACACTCTTAGTTTGTCACTCTTGTGGGACGCTCTGGTAGGACACTCTTGTGGGACACTCTTGTAGGACACTCTTGTAGGACATTCTTGTGGAACACTCTCATAGGACACTAAGTCTGCAAAACGAGTGCTTTGTACGAGACTTCCTCCAAAAGTCACGCATCAAGTCTGCAAAACAAGCGCTTCGTACGACCAAAAGTCACACGTCAATGTCTCCAAAACGAGCATTTCGCACGAGACTTCCTCCAAAAGTCAAGCAAGAAGCCCCATCGGAGCACACACACATCAAGCAGCCCTGCCAAGCAGTTTCGCGATTCCAGCCCCTCCAAACAACGCCCGCTCACGCGCCAATCCCAATGTCACAGCAACATTCACCTCCACCACAACTCGCAACCTCACGACTCCCTGCGCCTGCCACGAAAATTTACGTGTCCACACGTCTAACATGCACAAAGTACTGCGCCCGCCACGAAAAGTGACAATAACATATCAGTGTAAGCTTCCACAAAATTTGCACCACGCCACACGTTTGGAATGAGTTCGACACGTTCTGAGCACACTCCCCTCCACCAAATCCGCCACTCCAGAGTTAAACGAGAACCCTTCGCTACGCATTCGGGAAAAAACTGCAAACCGCCCCCAGTTCCATCCTGCCTCCCTTCGATGTGCGTCGATGACTTCAATGTCCAAGCGCATGAGGTCGTTCTGCCACACGCCATTCTTGAAATAGTCCTAACCAGAAACGACGACTCCAACATCGAAACCATCCACGGAAACGATGTGTTTTCCGACAAAAATAGACGATCCACGCTTCATGGAGAGAAGGTTCCAAAATGGTCGGACACAAGAACCATGGTGTTACGCAGTGCTACACAAATGTCCATCGAAGAAATAAAGATGATGGATGGCCGTGCACTTGGAACATGATCAAACAGGACGGTTTCCACTTCCATGTCTGTTTGAGGGAGGGTAATGGTGCCACAAGAAGTGTCAAAATGAGTGGCAGTGACCCTCGGAGCCAAGCAAATTATCTGGATGTTTTGATGACCCGCAAACCTACCCAAACGTTTGAGGAAACATACTTAAGTAGTTTATCTTCGTTGTAGTACTTCAGAACTTTGCTGGTACTTTTTGTTGACTCCAGCTGAAAAAGAAACAACTTCTGACTTTTGTCCGCAAAGAAAGCTCCCTGCCGGAAACGTCCTCAAATGACAAAGATGGGAGAAGTCGGTACAGCTCCTTGAAGAGCTCTGCGCCACCTTAAAACTTGTTATATAGATCGTGTTGGTGTTCTTCACCAGGAGCAGAATTGAGGAATGCACGTTGCTGTTTTTGAAAGAAGACGGGCGATGAAAAAGCATGTTCTCTGCAATGTAAACAAAAACCATGTGTTTTATTGTATCGTCGTAGTATATCATATATCTATTACATTCTATTACAATAGTTCCTTTCTAAACACCCTGCGATGCTGTGCAACTCTGATAAGCTCAACTCAGGCAGCAGCTCTTGTCCTTCACAAGGTCAACAATTGTCGGGTCCTGAGTAGTGAGTGCGGCTTTGGGCGGATGCCCAAGTCTTGCGTGTTGAGACGTCCCAAAGCTCGGAAGAACCGTGGATCCCACTGTGATCCCGCAAAGACACAGTGAGTTCTCTCGTCTGTTTGGACCTTGCCTGTGGAGACTTGTTTGGGTCTTCCCAAAAGGGTCATGTTAGGGGTCTGCAAGGACAAGGACATGGGAGGGTCTGACATTTTCCAGAATCCTGTGGGTATGTCTCAAACACAGAGGACTCCACAAAGACTCAGCAGGAAATAGAGGAAATAGAGAAAATCCATTGGTGAGAGAGTCGACTCAGGAGCAAGCTCTTAAGATGCTCAATGCTCATGGGAATGTGCCCTCTTCATGTGCGTTTGACAACAGCCCTGAAACCCGCCTCGTACATGGGTGACTCTCGGCCAGGTTGGCTTCCCAGCAGTGATTGCCGGAATCACCGAGTTCCAACAAGAATTCACTAAGTCACTAGAACTCCAAGTTGGATCTCTTCTACAGACATGCAATATTGAAGCCGTTCGAATGCCACTTGTCCAATGTACAATATGACAACAAAACACAATTCCTATGCCCAACTGTCCAAACAGTTTCAGGTCTCATCTTGCTTGTAAGGTGTCGCAGGACCTTTGAAGCCAAGACCATCTGGCAAAATGATTTGTGCTTATGCTATACGAATGCCTTGAGCCACCGCCATCATGAAGTGTGTTTCTGTGGCTCAAAGGCTTCAAAATGACTGATTGTAAATAGAAAACAGCCACTCTCTCTCTCTCTCTCTGGCAGCCTCACGTGATCTGTTGAGGTTTTGGAGCATTTTGGAGCTCAAGCAACCCCTAGTTGATCCATTTTGCACAAATGCAAAATGGAAGCGGACGGAAAGCCTTGAATCAGCGCTCTTCGGCGCAAAGGACCGTTCCATGACTGGGTCTGTCTCAAAAGAGGAGACAATCACACCTGGCTATCGGACAAATTGCTGGCATTCACATCATCCACATCCCTTCCACGATTTGGGGGACTCCTCCACTTTGTCACAAACCGTTCCGACCATTCGGAATCGCACTCCTAAAGCTACGACTTGGCATCGCCACAGCACGCCGATCATCTGCCGCCATGTTCGCTGGAGAAGAGAGCGCCAACATGCGCCAACATACCATGTTGCCCGTGGGATGCCCGTGTTGCTGTCTGAGTCTAGGCGTTTGGAACGGGCGTGAACTGCCACACGAGCTCATTTGGAATCAGAGGAGTCTCTGGTCAGAAGCTTCTTGCATCTGTCTTTATTGGCCTCGCGTCGTGCGAGAGATTCACCAAGGCTTCAGTGACGACAGGCAGTCGGCGAAGTGACGAAGGTGCCAACCCAAGAACTCCAAGGTCAGCGCCAAAGCCAACATGCTGATCGCAGTGATCAGGAATAGTATGCCGACCTTTGTAAACTGATTGATCAATGTAATCGCTAGACTCAGTGCTAGACATGGTCTTTGGAGCCGGTCGTATTGGGCTCCAAAAAGAGACACGCCCAGGTGTTGGCACAAAAATCATCAAAAATATCGGCTGGAGTTGGGGATATGCGAGCTTCCCTTCCAACAGCAAAGTGATTGTCTTTCCATGTCTTTCCTACACCATAAACCTTTCGAGCAGGCTCGACCCTTCTAGCAGCCCGGAAGCATGGCTACTGCCCCTTCTCCAAAACAAGTGCTGTCGCCACTGGAGCGGTGAGGTTCAGCGTTTGGGTCAGAAACTGAGCTGCCAACCACATAGGCAACAGGGCTATCAGCCAAGAGGAGGATGAGACCAATCAATGCCTGAGCGGAGGGGTGGTCCTTTTTCGCTTTCAGCCGCTTAAGAACAAGGGGGTTCTCCACTCACACATCAACACGCCATGTCGAGCTACAAAAACCAAAAACTGCAGTTCCAGGATATATATCTGGAAAAAAATATCTTGCAAAATAAGGTTGCGACGATCAAGATCCCTATACCTGCATGCAAATGCAGTCCAACTAAGGAACAAAACGCGGTGTGATAGCACTGGCAGGTGGGCTTGCGACGAATCTTACTTATCAAACATTTCATGGGCTGCTGCTTTCATGGTTCTTCTTTCCAATTGTTTTGGTCAGGTTTTCTATATGGCTTGTATCATCAAGCAGGTTTTTGTTGTCAAATCGTTCTCCCAAGATACTCTGCTCCCAAAGTTTGTGCCACCGAGCTGCCATTCATCAACGAAGTAGGGCCCAAAGTCGTGCGGATCACCAAGCCCACACCAGGCTGCCAGTGATTTTGTTCTCAAAGGAAACAGCAGGCGATCTCTTTCGAACCAATGAAACGAAAAATGAGACGTCGAAACGCGTGTATCCTTGCAACAAGAATAGCCGCCTCCCACCAAATGCCTTCTTGGACTTCAGCTCCCTGCCAAAGAGTTGTATCAAAGAAACATTGGTAATTCTACGCCACAGCATCTTCAAATGAAACGATGAGATCTTTTCCGCCTCATAGTCTTTCTTTGGTGTAGCTTTTTCTTTCGGAACTGACACAAAACCGCTTGGGCTGCTCTTGCGCTCGCTTGAGCGCTCGCTTGCGCTCGTCGCTTGCAACAAACAGTGAGCGTTATGGGAATTCTCGAATCAAACGGTGAATTCTTGAAACAGCATCAGTATCTTCGCCTTTCTTTTGACTCTGCGGCTTTTTGGGCTTTGGGTCCTTCAGAATTTAGACCGGGACAACATCCAGACTTTGCTCAGTTCAAAAATGACTGTCTTGCTATCTTAAATTAGTTTGTTGATCCATCTGTTCGTCCCACTGCTCCTCCACTGTCAGCTTCTCACAATCAACACAAAGCCCGGGCAGGAATCCAGATTCTTCTATTGTCCCATGCGTTCCACGTCTCGATTCCATTGTGGGAACGTCGGAATCATGTCCGGACCATTCGTGGTCAGAGGTGTTGGATTCCAGTTCCTAGGCATTCCAGGTGTTCACATGTCCATTTGGCACGGCCCAAGATATCCTAATCGCCCTCAAGTCACTGGGCAGTTGCGACACCGTGTCGCAGCAGTTGCTCATGTTGCAGGGCTTCCTTCGCTACATGCATGAGCCTTTTCTGCACCGGCCTGTGATCGGATAGCTCATTTATGTGTATACATATATATATATATATGTATATAGATAGATAGATATAGATATATTGCAAAGAACAAAAAAGGTTGTCTCTCCGAAACTTCCCTCTGAATCTTTTGTGGAATGTCTGCCAATCACCTCATAGGCCAGAATCTACAAAACCCATCAAGGGGCGTGAACGATCAACTTTTCGCTGCACATTGAGTGTTTGTCCACCATAGCGTAACGCACGTGCATCTTCACCCCACTTGCGCCCGTTCAGATTCCGTCCTCTTCATCGCCTTCTTCCTGATGGCATGGTGAAAACCAAGTGTGAACCTGAAACCTAAACAGCTATACACCTACAAGGGACCTTTTCCCAGGTTAAGACATTACTCTGGCTTCATCTCTGAGCATTTGAGAAGCTTCGATTCTTATGCTTGTTGTCACAAATATCTTTCCGACCTGCCAATCACCAGACCCGTCTGCTCCATTGGTCCTCTGATTGAGGTTCATCGCTCACTCCGCGGCCACTTCCCACCTTGAGGCCAACTTCGAGAGATCTGAAAAACCCACGCTGCGACGAAACGCAGTCGAGGCTAACATTCATCGCATCCACAAGGATCCGTAAGGATCCCTAAGGTTGAAGGGCCTGGTGTTGATGTCAGACTACTGCCTCGGGCTCACACAGAAGTCCTTACTGTATGAGCCGGAGGCGCAACAGCTGCCTCACCAAGTTGCAGCAAAGGCTGTGGCGCACTCATCAAGCGCAAAAGATCAACGACGCTGCAGGCGCGGTGAGGAGGCTGGTGCCCAAAGTTAGGAGAAAACCCGAAAAAATAGCGACAAATTCATCTGAATTGAGCATTGACTGCTTGAGGCCCAAACCTAATAGCCTCCAACCTAGTAGCGATGGCATGCGATGGCCCACCCTACAAGTCTTGCCTTCTTTTCAGCTTCTTCCTGACTTCTGCCCAGCACTTGTGGAGCTTCCTCGCGGCCCTGTGGATGAAATGGAGTTCAGCCGACCAGGTCTCGCTTGCAGCTCTTGAATTGAACAAGGAATTGACCAGGGATGACCAAGGTATTGAAATCAAACAGAATCTGGAATGCAAGGCTTTACTTTGCCGATAGACAACCTTGCGGTCCCAACACTGAACAAGACACAACCGAAGGATCAATGGAGAGGGTGAACCTTGGAACAGTGGCTTAGGGTGGGTCATGGACCATAGCTTCCCATAATGTGCTAAATATGCTGAATTAAATGTGTCAGTAGTATTGCCAGCAATTCATTGACTTCTTCCAGAAGCTTCTACATCCGACCACCACGCTGTGTAGAAGGATGGATGAGCATTGTTTACACATGTTTAGAGCCTGGCAAACAGGTGGATTGACGCCCCGTGGCTCATCCAAAAAGAGGCGAAGACCCCGGCGAATGCAGTAATTCCCGGCTAATGCTGTTGCCATCTCACCGAACATCTTGGCCGTGAAAACCCCGCAACCGGGCCGTCAGTTTCTAGGCCTTGGAGATTCTGCGTCCAGCCCCTTTGCACTCAGGGCATTTGACACGATCACGCATGACCTCACGCATTACCGGTGAGTGATCTGCGAGCACTGATCCACTGCGATATGACACTGAAGAACTGCGGCTAGATCGAAGTTGTGAAGAGCTTGCAAAGAGTCAGGTAAGTACACCTTTCCAACTGGGCCCTGCCTCATGGCCTTCACCATTGCAAAGAGGACAAACGAACTGGGCACAAGAATGAGTGGTTGGTGCAGAAGAGGACGAACGCTCACAAAGGTTGGAATCCGGAGATGCGTGGTGGATGTGGTCTAGGATCTCAGCTGTGTTTCGCCCGCCTTGTTGCCCCGACCTGCTGCGCAAGCACCGGTGCCATCGCAGTTGTGGCACTCTCTTCGACGAGTCTGGACCTATCGACACGCGTCCCGCGTCCGGTCGAAGACGAACGAAAGCCAAGGCTTTTTCCCGACGGTTTTTGGATGGTTTTGGTGTCTTGTCTACGACGGCGTTTGGGTGTGTAAACGAATTGCCGCAGGAAAGGGGGTGGATTCAAATGATTCTAAATGATTCAAACACATGACAGAAGAGCAACATGGAAGCAACGTGAAGCAACTAAAACAATGGATCGTGACTTCCAGGTGGTCTATTCGCCACTCAGCTTCGGACCACTTCTCCACTTCCATCGCACTCTTCGCAAGGCCTCATTCTGGTCAACATCATTCAACTTCTGTGTACAAGCTTTGATGCGTCTGTGTAGTGCTCATCCGAGAATTGTACCTTCCAGCTGCTACTTTCGGCGGCATGCTTTCAGGCCATTCCAGCAGCCAGCAGCGATTAAGATTGGAAATGCAATGAAATGCCTGAAACGTGTTGGTGGGTCGCCTCCTGATCAAAAAGAACTATATGTTTCTTCGTACTCGCACAAACACAAAGAGGTTGCTTAATCGTCACACTGTCTACTTCCTTGCAGCAGCATGCCTTGCACAACTCCTTTTACAGTGTGGCAACCAAGAGCAGCATCGCGTGGCATCAGTTACAGTTAATGTTGTAAATACATGTTTGTCATGGAGCCTTGATCTTGATGGGTGTTTGAAGAACTCCAAGAAAGCATCACAAAAATTGCAAACACCTTACACCTTGCAACATAAGAGCTCCGCGTCGATGTAGTTCAAGAAAGAGCGACTTTTGACAACTTTTGACATGCGCATGTCACTGCCGGCTTGATGGAGCTGGAGGGAATTGGAACGCAAGCTGCGACGGTGGAATCATGTCCGAGCTACAGTAGATCAGGTGAATCGTTGGCAGGAGCAAAGCTGCCTTCTGCCTTCTGCACAACCCCTGGCTTGTGACCACTCCCTCCCTCGGCAAAACACTGAAAGAATAATGCGAAATGAGGTGATGTTCTTCGATCAATCTACAAGGGACTGGTCTGCCAGAATTCAGAATGTACCATTGTCTCCATCACCGCTCAGAGTAAGGAGCTGGCACTCCTCCTGCAATGAAAGCAAGCGAGAGTTGTAGGAAGTTCATGTCAGTCATTGACAAGTGATGGAACAACTTCGCCACTCTACCAGACTCTACCACCGGTTCATGCCGTTTCCACCACAAACGAAAACACAACACTTCCTCATCGACCAGCTTGTCCGAAACATCCCACTGCTTCTTCTTGTTCTCGTCGTCCTTGAAGTGATCGACTCGTAAACGATCTACTCGTGGCACGAAGAACAAGAACAAGAAGCAACATCACTTGTTCCTGTTTTTGATCCGTTTCACGCGCTTTTTTGGGCAAGATCCAGGTCTGCTCCTTTCCTCTAAACAAGAGTGACGCCTAGTCCTACGGGCACTTCCACTGGTTTGGTCTTAAAACCAGGAGCAAAAGGCGCCAGGTCGTCTCGTGTCACCGCCTACTCTCTCGAGAGAAACTGGGACCACGTCATGAGCGAGATCAAAAACGTCATGCGTTCGCTTCCTCGCCATGAAAGGCTTCATTCTCAGCATCAATGTCATCCTGTTCATCTGCAATTGGCTTCAAATAGCTACTTGATGTGCTTGCTGGCAGAGGCAGAATGGACCTGCTAATCAACCGCTTCCATGCTGCCAAAGACAGCAAAGGCCCAAAGGCTGTTCACCAATTCCTCCCAACAAATGCAAAGGCATGAATGCAATTTTTGAGTCACAGAATTCAGCTCGCCGTCCTTGCGCTTGAACTCATGCATGCAGCGATTCACACCCATTGCGAGCTCTTCTCTCAGTCGTCGATTCTGAATCGTCTCAACTGCCAAAGCCCAAGAGACATTTGACACCTGCTCCGCTGGTCTGGGAGAGCAGCATGGCTAAACGCAATGCAAATATAGCACAAAACCACTATGATCAACTGTGTGAATTATGTGTGTACAACCATAAATTATGATTGTTGGATCACCAATCCCAAGATGATGCTTTTTTGGTCAACACTGTTCCAAGCATCCCAATGCATGGTCCATGCCTCCTGGGGGCCAAACTCTTGAACACGGTCCAAGACGGCTGTAGCCAGGGGCTCCATGAGGCGTGGTGAAGACCTGCCGAAGGCGCAGCCGTCAAGGAGTGGGACGGTACACCGAGTCACTCTCCGATAAGACCGCTGCAGCCAACGGTTTGTTGCTGGTTTCGATCCACCGGCAACGAGAGTTGGCCATTTCAACCGTGGACCTTCCCCTGTCCCCAGGTGCGACCCTTGAAGTTCCACGCGACAACCGGCAAACCGGGGCCGGTTCGGCCTCAGACTTTGCCCATCCAGGTCCGCTGCAGCCACCGACCAAATCACCGCTGCAAGCTGGATGCTCTGCAACTCCCTGGCACAGACTCTCTGCATCTTGGTGACACACTGAACCAAGACGAGGAGGGGTTGGGAGATTGGACTGTGACACCTGAAAAGTCTGAAAAGCGGTGAGTTACTCTACCAAATGTATCTACATGTCCTTAGTAGAAGTCCACCAGTGGGTTTGTCAGGGGCAGCTAAGCCAAGCTGCTACTCGCTGCACACCGACCATTTGGGTCACGAGAAAGTACCATTCTGTACCGACTTTCTACCGATGGTACTTTGGTCTGGGCAGTTCCTTCATGTCAACTGCCCATGTTCGATTGAGATCAACGATCGCTAGTTAAAGACTGAGGCAATGCCTCCACACAAGACTGTTCACAAAACGAGAATGACCTCGTGTCACAGGGTCCAAAGAAAAGAGGGAGGAATGTATATAACTATATCATGCTCTAGTATGTGGTTGCACATTTTCTGCACCTGAGGACCAACAGCCAGCTTGGGACTTTCCATGTCGATTTTCAGCACTTCCTATGTATCTTGTGACAGCCACTTTACAAGAGACCAGCTAAAAGGCCGCGCCGATTTCCGCTGAGTCTGCTGCGCCAAGCGTTCCAGCACACAATAGACCGTCAGGTTCCGGGCCATTCGGCTTGCTGTGCCTTGAGGCGGCCACAACTGAATTAAGCTGAGTAGGCTGACAGCTGTGCCTTGGTGCCCGGCCCGATCCACAGGTAGCAAAGGCCCAAATGGCATTGGCCAATTCTTGGGCTTTAAAGCCATTTGGTCTGGACAAAGCTCGAGAATAAGCCAGTTCAGACATGTGATCTGCCTGCATGGGAGGTCAGAATCAAGACGAGGCAAATGCTTTTGATGGGCGTTTGTGTGTGTGTGTGCGCGTGTGTCTTTTCTCACACCACCCTACTGGGATGACTGGTAAAACCAAAGAAGACTAATTAGTTCACCATAGTTCACACACTACTGTCAAAGAATAGTACAAAGAGTCCTATTGTTCAGGAAAGTCCCCAACTCCTCACCTGTTCTGGTAGGTCCAAAGCAGCTATGGCCCAGAGTCCATTGCTCACGTCTTGATGATTCAGCCGCTGCTCCTGTGAAGAGACTGAACTGGGCAAAACTGTAAAGAGTGATGGATTCCATGGCACCTGCGAGGAAAGCTGAGCGGCCACCTTCGCACATGTTCTTGGACTGTGATGGATGTATTACGTTGCATTGCTGCATTTGCACTGTTTCCAAAGTATTTTAAACAAAGAACAAACATATGATAAAAGCAAAGCTTTGGCGAGAATTCCAGCCTGAGTTGCAAGACCCTCAGGCATAGCCTCGATTGCTGGTTGTCGCAAACGTGCAATGGCCCAAAGAGTATTCCTGGGAAGCCAGCGTGACATCGTCAGTTCGCCAGCGGACGTCCGGATGGGTCGTCGCCTTCTCAGAAAATTGTAAATACCAAATGAAGGTGTCCATCAATGGGGCGACCCCGCAAATCATCCATTCGTTTTTGGGGTTGTTTGATCATAAATCGTCCGTTTTGGGATACCAAATACCAGTTTCCACGCCAAGGATCGAGAGTTGACGACCATCCAGAGACTTTTGCCTGGCATACTCACCTTGCTTGGCCAGCAGAGCACCGAGGGTTCGACTGGCCAGCCGGTCGTCTTTCAACGAGTGCTTCGCAAGGGCATGGAGAGATGCGGTGCAGTGAATAGCGTCAAAGCCTTGGTGAAGCTTTGGGGGTCAAAGCAAATTGAGGGGATCTGTCGACCCACTCTCGAAATCTCTCGAACCTCATCTATGTTTGCTGTCGGCAAGGGTATTTTAGGGGATTGTTCATGAATTTTCCAAGCGCCCACACGGTCCCAGAAGAGCTTGAGCTGTACTCGTTTGACAGCGTTTGCGGACCTCTTTTCTTTCAGATTGTGTGTCTAACCAGCAAAAATATGAATCATCAAATGCCACATAGTAGAACAAAAACGAGAGACAAAGCCCATAAGGCCCCCGCGCTTGAGGTTTTGTGCGACAAAGACGAGTACCTTGCCGCGCAGAACATGGGATCATGCAAATGCCATGTGTTCATTCGTCGTTCGTCGTACGCTGTGGATGGGAGGACACCGGCGACTCGGAAGATCACTCTAGATATCACTTAATACAAGCTGCGATGAATAGGAGGCCTATGCCGGTTTTGGTCCATCAACAGTTATTTGCTGAACTCTCTCCTTAGTCTTAGTCCCACCTCCTCCGCAGAGGCGCTACGAGCAATGAGCGCAGTGCCAAGCTTTGAGTCCTTCAGGCGCATGCCTTGAGCCAAATCTGCCAAGTCAAAGCTGAAGGAGACGACTTGAAGGAAGGCAAAATGGCCTCCAACCTAGTAGCGATGGCCTCCAACCTAGTAGCTTTTTAGATAGCGCACTCAATGACATTCGTTGAATCCTCAAGATGTTCAGTTGCCGCTCAATCAATGTGGCTCAATGTGGCTTATGTCTTATGTGAACTCAGCAAGAAGTGCGCAGGAATGGTAGCTCTTCCCAACTTGTTCTCCGCAGCTGGTCGCTGGTTCCCGAGGAGGCTTCAAAGAAGCGACTAGTAGCCGCCTCATTACTACTAGTAACAAGAAGCTACTAGTAGCAGGGACGCTACTAGTAGCTTTGTCCGATCTGCTTCCTTGATCTTCCTTCCGTGGATGAGAAGAGTGGAGGCTGCCGCCTGTGCTGCGAGATCAGCTGTGTTGAGGTCCGTTGTTGCGGGCGGGTCATATCTTGGAAAATGGACAAGCCGAACTCTCCACCAAGCGTAGTCTGATCGACACCAGTTTGACGATGGCGGCTCAGTCTCCTGTGCCAGTTCTCACCATCGGCTTCGCAGGGTTTGCTGTCAGTGCTGAAAGCTTTCAGCAGCTTCTCCACTTGCCCAACCCAGCTTGGACCACGAAGAAATTGAATGCCAGCCTCCAAAGAAGAGTCCGTGAGTGCTGCCCGTGCTCAACCAGGCGAGGATTCCGTGGTAGCTGGGCACTTGCGCGACTCTTCCGTGGTCTCAACATATGCGGTAGTTTCCACCTGAGAGGGGGGAAGAGCTGGAGGCGAATTGCCGAACATTTGTAAAGAGAATCACATCTGCAGACGAAGAAGAACAACAACAATAACAAGTTGAGAGGACTTGACTGGGCCAAAAGACATTGTGGTTCTTTTCGTGAAAGAACTCCTCCCTTTTTCCCACTCACCTTTCGAATTGTCTGAGCATCTTGAAGGACATCCTCACTCTCCCCTTGCAGCACCACAGCCCCAGGCGAGGAGAAGAGCCCCGTGGTTTTGGTCACCTTTCGCTGTCGCACGGACGACCCGCAGCAAGAAACGAGACAAGGACCCGTTGCTTTCGCTTCGCAAGACGTGTCCCGGTTGGAACAACGCACCGTTTGAAGTCTGGATCCGTTCGGTTGTTGCGAAAGAAAGGGGTTTAGCTTGTGGCAAAAGCTGGAAGTGTGTGACTTATTCAGGTACTTGCTTGGCATTGGGAGGTTTGTTCTCAAGAACTGCTGCTCGATGCTTATATATGTTCATATAATGGTGCCGAAGTGACTGGCACCATCTTAAAGGGTGGACCGCATCCGGCAAGCCCTCGTTCGAAGCGCCAAAACCTGGACAGGTGATCAAAATGATTCTGTGCAAAACCTGGCTGTGGATGACCCTGTGAATGGCCGTGTGACCATAAGTGACGTATTTGCAACATGCTGGGCATGTTGCAACAACGGGGCGAACGGGGCAGAGGGATGGCAAGGGTCATGGCAAAAGACGAACGCAGCTGTCGTAACGACCTGGGGCCTGATGGTTCTTGGCGTGAGTCGTCTTGCAACGGCACAGGTTCTACCTGTGTTTCTTTTGACACCAAATGCTTTGCTTCACTCTGCTCTGTTTAAAACCTAGAGGCGTCTTCAAGCTGGACAGCTTTTCGAGCGCAGCAGCTGTTAGCCATCCGGTGATTCGCCCGATGAGAAACACGACGGCCACTCGATTGGTCATATCGTTGGAAGGAACTTCCGGGAGCTTGGAGAAGCCAGACTGATCCTGGGATCAAGTCAAGTTCAACGATCAGCCAAGGACAGCGTGTCAACTTGAGGTTGGCAGAAGCGTGTCGTTGGTTCAACAACATTCTGCCAATGGCAGCACCGCATAGAAACGACAGCCCCTGCCGCATTGCAGACCTGTCTGAGTCTGCCCGTCCGTTCGTCCGTATGGTTTCAATCACTGATCCGCTTTTGAAGAAGTTGATAAGTTGATGTTCAAAAAGATGATTGCGTGATCCTCCTTGGAATTCAACGTCCACCGTGAAGGCCATGATTCCATAGATATAGTCGATATAGTTTGGCTATGTTTGGCTCTACGTCAAAAGCCACCCAGGATCAGTCAGCCAGTGTCTCCCTTTTCCACACGAACATGGTGGCAGGCGGCAAAGAGGCTCATGGCCAGCACATCCAACCTCAGTGACCGCAACCAACAGAATCTGTTGGGCCGTCAACCAGGTTTGGCTTTCATCCAGTCCGCCATATTGATGTTGGGCCTCCTCACTTGGAGATGCTCCCATGATCTTGCATGTGACTGGAAATCTCAATTCTGTTATATAATTCTATTTTGTCGTCCAGGATACTGTGTGGGTGGTGGAACTCGCGGCAAGCCGCCAGAACAACGGGCATTCACCTCGTAGATGTAGGGCTTGTCAAGCCACACCAATTCCTTGGTTCAGCAAGTACATTCAAAAAGACCGATGAATATGGCTAACCAATAAACTCCCTTTCTTGGGGAGCATTCAATTTACCCTGTGTTTTGCAAGTCTGGCAAGCACCCACTCTGGAATCCTTGCCGTTGCGATACAAGGGATTTCAAATTAAGCCTTACCTTTGACATTTGAGGACACGGCCTAAAATCCAATCCATTGAGTCACAATGTTTCAAATCCTGCAAAAAAACTCGCAACATTGTTAATATTTCAAACGTCAGAACGCTGCTGAACATGACAACGACAAAAGGGAATCCTTCTCTCCAACCTTCTCTCCCACGACCTGCATCGGGGAGGCCAACCCACACTCGGACGCAGAAGCACCAGGTTTACCGTGCATAGGTCAGTACCTGATCATATGGTTTTCTCTTAGAATCCACTCTAAAGGAACAAAACCAGCCCCGAGTCCTTTCAAGTTTTGTTGAGCTGACATCCCTGCAAGCCTCTGCTCAGAACATGTTTCCATCGTCAAGTCACCGTGTGCGCAGCACCCTCCTGCAAACCCAGAGCTGTCAATGAGGATTTCACCATCTGTGTCACCTGCGAAGCTCAGCTCGCACGTGGTCAACACAGAGCTCTCCGAGGGGCTGAAGCTCTTGGACGGTGGAAAGGAAGCACCGGTTTGGACGCTCCGTTCACCGGTTTGGACGGTGAAAGCGAACGGTCGCTTCCTTGCCTCCAAGAACCGTGGCGACTCCCCTGCCAAGTATTGAACGTTGTAAAGGAAATGTTGTGGGCCAGCGCCCGCGATGAGCTTGGGAGGACCATACCACGCCTCGAATAGCTTGGCCCGATGTGATGGCCGTACGAGTACGCCGGCGACGCGGTTTTCATGTGGCAACAACATTTTACAACATATAAAACAACGCCTTCTGTTTAATCTGTTTACATCAGGATAGAATTTTGTTAGATCTGTTTTAATGGTTCAAAGATGTTCAAAGGGGTTGGCATTGAACAGTAATGATGAAAAGTCGTTGAGGCATATGAATTCGTTGCCAGGATGCGTCGGAGACTTTATGCACACCATCCCGGCTCACAGTGTTAACCACCCATTCCTCTCCTGAAGTGCCAGTTCAGATGCAGGCAAAGCCAAGCATCTTCAGAAACGTGCCTGAATTTAACGAGAAAGCTCGAAAACCAGATGCCTGAATTTTCGAAGGATGTGGATATTCAGACCACCTGAAGCTTCCGGCCTATCAAGGCCTGCGCCACAATGAGCTCCGTATTGGTTTGCAGCTCTTGGTGTCTTTTTCCCAGCTCCTCGACCCCAAACGACGCTGTCAGACGCTCCCAAACGCCGCTGTCGAACGGAAGAGTCGGTTCGTATGCAGTACAGTCTCGCCAAAACGAAGCTCCTGCTGGAAGGCGGTCAAAATGTCCTCAAGTGCGAAGACGGCATCGCCATCAGGACCGAATTCTCGAAATCTGTGCCAGGTTTAGACCAATATTAGTCAAAAATCGATTTCTTGGTACGCCCGCACGCCCGCGCCCGCCCGCCCGCACGCACGCACGCAGTCACAGTCACTCAGTCACAGTCACTCAGTGAGTTAGCGAGTGAGCCAGTCAGTCACTCACCCACTCACCCACTCATCCACTCACCCACTCGCTCACTCCCTCCCTCGCTCCCTCCCTCGCTCATTTGCTACAGAATCGACAAAAAAGAACAGCCAGAGGGTGTAATACCATGAAATACCATGACGAGTCCAAAAAGATACAATTGTGAATTCCAAAGAAGACGTCTATGCCGTCCCCAACCCTTTTCCGAAAGGTTCTTTCGTCTGCCCGACAAAGCCCAGTGTCATCGTCGTCATTACAAAGCCAAACCCCATCGCCGCCCGATGAAGCGCGTGGCTTCACCACAACCTGCCCATTCGCTCTGGCAAACTGCTGGGCAGCGCGGACATCTGCAGTGACCTGTGAGCATTGCATGGCATGCCAAGTGGGGGTGACCAAGGAAAGAGCGCGAAAGTACCAACAAAATGGTATCACATGGTATCATTAAGTGTTCTGAAAACATGGTCACACGCAGCCATGTGTTTGGGACGTGCTTTGCAAACAGATGTACACTCCTAGATAGACCCCAAACAGCTTTGTCGGCAAGAATTACTGTTGTGGTGGGCAGCCGCAGCCCCTGCCGAGGAGACGGGTGTTTTGTTCCGAGGCCGCCCCTGCCTCGGAGCCAGCAACGTAAACATCGTAAACAGCAGCAGGACTCAGAGAGGCCACCGAGGAGGTAAACTGAGGAGGAGAACGGAGGACAAAGGATAAGGAAAGAGAAACAACACGACAAGGAGGACAAGAGGAGGACGAGAAGAGGACCAGGAGAGGGCAAGGGGAGGAGAAAACAAACACAACAAACGGACAAGGACTGGAGACGGGCCAGCAACAGATGGACAAGAAGAGGACAAGAAGAAGTCAACGGGTGGACATGGGGTTCACCAGCGAGGCCAAGTTGGACACCAGCAGAAGGTGAACAAGAGGACAACAGGAGGACAAGAAGAGGAAAAGAAGGAAAAGAGAGGAAAAGGGAACACCGGTCAACAGTAAACTGTCTTTTTCCTCCAAGCTACCCAATCCCAGGCCCTGACTAGTGCCCAACTGCAGTGAGACACTAACCGGCTAGCTACGAACGAAGTGAGCAAACGAAAAAGGTAGAAGGGACGCCAGTAAACTGCTGGGGGAACTGTGTTTTTGTTAGCTTGGAAAAAGGTCATTTGAGGCCAAGGACTCAAGGACGACGAACCGTTATTTCCATGATCTTGAGGCAAAACGTGCGTGTGCATGATCTTCGAGCGCATGTGGTGTCATCTTCCAAGCACATCCAACTGAACGTAACTCCCCGCCAGCCAACCCCAACCCCCCGTCTTCCAAAGCGTCTGTGCATGTGGTATCATCTGCCAAGCGTATTCAACACACTACCACCAAGGAGTGCACAAGTTCCGAAACGCAAGGGAATTCGGGTCCAAACACACAAAAAGGAACTGTGAACAAGTACGAAGAAGAAAGAGGTTGCCCTGATTCAACACAACAAAATGCTATTAGTTAAAGTGAAAATACAAAGGTACTAACTGTCATGCCAAAGGTCATCGAACAAACTCTTCGTGGTTTGATAAAAGGTGCACGACTACTAGCGCGGCTGTCAACCCGCTAGCATTGAAATGCATATCATGTTTCCCGCCAGTGGGGCCTGAGTAATTTTCTGAAAACACAACAAATACCACACGAAATTGGGAGCAGTTGCTCAAAAACAACAAAAGCGTACAGCGGCCCCTCGGAGCGTCAGACCTACAACATTGGTGAAGGGCTCATCTTATATCGTTCCATGCAGCAGCATTCCAATTACATAAATTCATATAAGCAATTATAAACACATATATAAACCAATAGAAGTTCAGTTGTTTCTCCTGTTCTACCGAGTGGCAATCTGCAAAGCTGCTGGTAATCCAGCTCTCTGCAGCACCGCCTAAGAAGGGGTCAGAGTTCTTTTCTGGAGTGTCTGAAAGATCTCTAAAGGTCTCATGACGCCCAGGTCCAAAAACGGGCTTTAATAAAACATACATGGACATACCATGATCATCCGTGATTTTTACTATACCATATTTGACCCCAAAAGGGTCACCAAGAGGGGGTGCATGTAGTTGTTTGTTCATGGTTGGTCTATCACTTGGAAGCAAAAGTATGAACCTCCTCACGTCGCTGGTCCGCGGGCCTTTCTGCCCAACCCCGCCTGCTGCAAGTACTTATCTCGTCTCAGCGACGATGTCTTCGGCGAATTGTGCCGGACTCCTAAGCGCGAGTTCATCTCGTCTGCCAGGTGAATCCCACAATCTGCGAAGGGAATAACACCTGGCTTTTCGGGCCAGGCTCTGGGCGCAATCGGACCATGCAAATGAAGCTGTCTGTATTCAAGCACACTACCTAATGTAGACCAAACAAATCAAACAACAAGCCCAAACTTGTGGGGGGGTGCTCAATCACCTTCTGTGCAATTCGGAAGCCTTGAGGAACGAAGCCTCTGGAGTCAAGCAATTCAGCTATCACATCCGCACCCTCGGCTGCAAAGTGAGGGTAGAGGCAAACCTGGGTCGAGGGAACGAACGAACAACGGTAGAGGCAAGGCGATGCCCTGACGGTACAGGCACCGATGGGTGCTGCGAATGACCTGACCAACGGTGCACTCGAGTTGTTGGCTGCGACAAGACTTTGAGCTCAAACAACACCCTGTAGAGGAAGCTTTGCATCATTTGGCCATATTTTGCACAGTTGACTCTTGATGTTGCGGTACTCTCCGTCTGTGAAATTTGGATCTCTCACCAAGACCTTTCAAGTTCCTTTCCACATGAATCCAGGCTTCGGTGTGATGTCCGTATGATGCAAAGGCAGCCTCCACAGCAGAGCCTTTCGGAGGGTAGCCACACACCAGCAGAAAGACACGCCTCGTTGCGGTGGACGAACAAAGATTCTGAGGAGGGGAAAAACACTGGACATTGAATGAACAACTGGATGACTCGTCTTTCAAGATAGTTGCCTTGTTGCTCATGTCTCTGCCCCGTCCTTTCAAATTGCGTTTCCTTTCACTTTTGCTCAGTGCACGGAGGTAGAAAGCTCCCACCTCAGCCTGCAGCCATGCATACTTCGAAGTACCTGTAATGTCGGAAGTGAGGAGCCAAAGCTACCGAAGGAAGGACATCACATGAATGAAAGAATGCTATGCTACGGACAAAAACGAAGAGTTCCATCAGGTCAAGTATATTCAACTGAGGGGCCAGCACAGGAGACCCATCCGGAAAAACACTCGATTTGGATCGATTTGTCCAAGGCACGTGGCGAATCAGGAAGCGTGCCACCAGCTCAGGAGGCGAATCAGATGATTCGGGATCTGCAAAGTCATCCCAAACTTCGGAAAACCTTGGAGGGCAAGGAGACAAATCATTTAGTGTCTAGCTTGATGATGATGTAGCTTGATGCTGATGCTGATGATGATGATGATGATGATGAAGGATGACCACAATTTTTGCCAAGGTGGCTCTTTGGGCAAAGACCGGGGTGACAATGAAGAGGATGAAGATGTCGAATAATGCCGCAGCGGATATCGAAGCTCATCCGTCAACATGGCTTTAGCAGTCTCGCCCCAGTGTTTCAAGCCTGTGTAGTATACTACCTACTGTAATTGTATGCATCGTTGACGCACCGCTAATTGATCATGTTTGCACATGAAAGTGGAAAGAATGTCCTACTACATCATGGTGGTTCTGAGCCCGAGAGCCCCTTGCATTACACAGAAAATTGAAAGTCATGGTGTAGACCGCTGCGCTTGCATGTACCATCCGTGAACAAGTTACCGATCTGCGAGGTACAAACACGAAGCAACATGTGATTGGGTCAAAACCCAGCCCTGCAGTTCACACCAACATGTACATGGCCCCAATCCAATTACAGCCAATTACCTTTAGAACTATTAGGTTTGACCCGTGACGACCCGTATCCCTTGAAACAAACGCGGCATCCGTTCCGGCCAAACATCCGTCCCCCAGTCTTCACGTCCTGCGAGCCAGGCCCTGAGAGACCAAAGGGAATCCGTCGCCCAAAGGTGCGAAGCTCCACCTTTTCAGAGAGCCTCGCGGCGAAGGACGGCTCTCCACGGCGGCGAAGGAAAGCGGCGGGGGGATGCGCGGCTCTCGAACGGAAGACGGATCGGGGTGGTTCTTCGGAGGATGCGAACTGTCCAAGGTTTCGGATTCCCCCAATTCCTGTGCGACATGATGTGACCCAAATGTTTTGGTACGCATCAAAGCTCAAGAGGCTCAAGGCTTGTAGCGGCACACTATGGCCTGCCAGCACCATCATCGAGCTGTAGTATGATCCGTCCTGCATGTAAACATCAGTCTCTGCATGTCTCTGCTGCCGTTGGCTCAGTCATTTCTCTACAAAAGGATCGACTAATGGATGCACCTAATGGTGAAGCGCCAATGGCCCCAATGACCTTGAGAGTTGGCAGTGGCAAACAAATGGTCGAATCTGGCTGTTGTAAGACTTGGTTTGGAAACCTTAGCTCCCAGCCTCCTTCCGGTGGGAAATCCGGATGAGGAAGTCCGCGAAGATGATGCACTGGGAGGAGCAGAAAGTGCTGCTTGGGCAGGAAACGATTTGCCCTGAGGACGTTAGTACCAGTAACAATGAGGATTCAAAATACAACGATCTGGGTCTGCCAAGCATGCCAAGAGCGACTTCCCCCCTAAAAGATTACTAAAAACATGTCTTTACAGACAAATGTATTGGCGGTATAACCAGCCAGTATCATCCAATATCGCATCACAAATGGCCGGGAAAGCGCCGACTGAACGACCGGCTGCTCCTCTAAAGCGCCGCCGATCCAAGAGGTGTAGTCATGGTAGGCCCCATGCCACACGTAGCGCTGGCGACGAAAAAGCGCCGCTGGCGACGCCCCGGAAGACTTGGAGAAAAGCTGAAAAGCTGGGTGAAAAACAGTGAACAACGGATAACAACGGGTTTTTTGGGTGCTTGGGGGATCTCGCATCCAAAACACAGCCAAAGGGAAGATCGAAAACAAGGCTGCAGTCATGTCATGTGTTACTGCTTGCTTCACTGCCCTCACCTTGTAGATCCAATTGCACACATAGAGCGTCCTGGGAGATCGACGCTCGGATCCTCCCCCGAAATCCTCCTCGCACGAACGAGTTCTCGGAGAACATCGACTGTAAAAAGAAACTTGTTACTAATAACTTCTTGTTACTACTAGTAAGGCACTTGTTACTAGAAGCGATGCACTTGTTACTAATAACTTCTTGTTACTACTAGTAAGGCACTTGTTACTA